AGCAAAATTACCAATCCTTTTAATGATTTCAAAAGGTCCGACATATCTTGGACTGAATTTGCTTACTCTTCCAAATCTGTTAACACCTTTCATCGGACTGACTTTGACATACACAAAGTCACCAATCTAAAATTCTACAAATCTGTGCTTCTGATTATAATATTTATGTTGTCTATCTTGTGCAGCTTTCAATCTTTCTTTAATCAAATTGATTTTCATAACAGTTTCATCCATAAAAGTTGAACCCATTACTTGTCTATCTCACACCTCAGTCAAAGTCAAAGGAGTTCTACACTTTCGGCCATACAGAGCTTCGTAAGGTGCCATACCAATGCTTGACTGATAATTATTATTGTATGCAAATTCTATCAGTGGGATATGATCTTCCCAACTGCCTCCAAAATTCAGAACACATAACCTCAGAAGATCTTCCAATACCCGAATAGTCATCTCAAACTGTCAATCAGTCTGCGGATGAAAAGCTGTACTGAAATACAACTTCGTACCCAATCCTTGTTGAATTCCTCTCTAAAGTCTTGAGGTAAACCTGTCATCCCGATCAGATACAATTATTTTTGGCACACCATGTAATCTGACAATTTCTTTCACATATATCTGAGTTAACTTATCCACCGGATCTGTTTGTCTGATCGGAAGAAAATGTGCAGACTTCGTCAATCGATCAACAATCACCCAAATCGCATCATACCCTTGCCTCGATCTGGAAAAACCTATAGCAAAATCCATCGCCACCTCTTCCCACTTCCACTCATGGATAGGCAACAACTGTAAAAGACCTCCTGGTTGCTGATGTTCTGCCTTTACTAACTGACAGGCTTCGCATTTCGAAGCAAACTCCTCCTTTTTCATTCCAGGCCACCAAAACAAGATTTTCATATCTCCATACATCTTACCACTTCATGGATGAATGATATAGCCTGAATAATGAGATTCGTGCAGAATCTCTTTCCTCAGATCTCCAAACATAGGAACCCACAACCTATTCTTACATAAAATAATACCATAATCAAAAATTCATAGTTCATGTTTCTTACCAGATTCGATCTGATATATCAACTTCAAATATTCAGTGTCTGACTTCTGAGCTTCATGAATCTTCTATTCTAAAGAAGGTTGAATATTCATATGAGTCAAAATACAAGAATCCGGACTAGTATAGAAAATCACCTCCAGTTGTAATCGTTCAATATCTAGTATCAGATACTCATCAGAAGTGAGCTGAACACATGATAATCCAGAAGACTTCCTACTCAAGGCATCTGCCACCACATTAGCCTTACCAGGCTGATACTGAATAGACAGATCGTAGTCCTTGATCAACTCAAGCCATCTTCTTTGCCTCAAATGCAGATCCTTCTAAGTGAATATATACTTCAAACTCTTATGATATGTGAATATCTCACACCTGACGCCATACAAGTAATGACGTCAAATCTTCAAAGAAAATACAACAGCGGCCAATTTCAAATCATGCGTCGGATAATTCTTTTCATGTGATTTCAACTGTATTGAAGCATAAGCTATTACCCGACCCTGCTGCATCAGAACACAGCCCAAACCTTTAAGTGAATCATCACTAAATACCTGAAATCCTTCCGTACCAGATGGAAGTACTAACACTGAAGCAGAAGTCAAACAATCCTTCAATCTCTGAAAACTAGCTTCACATTTTAGTGTCCAAATAAAAGCTACTGACTTTTGAGTCAGCCTCATCAAAGGTGCAGAAATCTAGGAAAATTCCTCTTACAAATTTTCTATAGCATCCAACCATACCCAAGAAACTACGTATCTCAAACACCGTCGTAGACCTTGGCCAATTAGCAACTGCTTGAATTTTCTGGGGATCAACGTACAAAAATACCTTCATCGCTCACTACATGTCCCAGAAAAGAAATGCTCTTCAGCCAGAATTCACATTTGGTGAATTTAACATACAACTGGTGCTGCCTCAAAGTCTCCAACACCCTTCTCAAATGTCTGGCATGATCTTCCTCGGAAGCAGAATATACCAGAATATCATTTATAAAGACGACCACAAACTGATCCAGATAATCTTTGAACACTATATTCATCAGATCCATAAAAATAGCCGGTGCGTTGGTTACCCCAAATGGCATAACCAAAAACTCGTAGTGTCCATATCGAGTATTGAAAGCTGTTTTCATCACATCAGCTTCCTTCACCTTCGCCTGATAGTATCCAGATCTCAAATCAATCTTTGAGAATATAGAAGATCCAGCAAGTTGATCAAACAAATCATCAATCCGTGATAAATGATACTTATTCTTGATTGTGACTTTATTCAAATCTATGTAATCAACACACATACGCATTGTCTCATCCTTTTTCTTCACAAATAAAATAGGTGCTCCACAAGGCGAAACACTATGATGGATAAATCCTCTATCCACCAACTCCTAGAGTTGAACTTTCAACTCTGCAAGTTCTTTCGGTGCCATCATGTACGGAGCTTTAGATATCGGAGTTGTACCCGGAAATACATCAATACAGAACTCAACATCTTTGTGAAAGCCATATTTCCTTCCAGGTTCGTCCAGACGAAGGTGAGTTCGTCCGGGATGAACAGAGTAAAAATTGGTGACAAAGAGATTCGTCCCAGGACGAAGGCAGATTCGTCCGTACGAAATTTGTCCATAGAGCATCGTTTAGAAAAAATAATTAATTTCCGTCTAGACGAATGGAGTCCAGAGGAGATCGTCCCGGGACGATCGGGACATCGTCCTGGACGATCATGTTTTATAAATATCTAAATAGTGTCATTTTGAAGAGAGAGAAAAATGAAGGAAAGAAGAGGATATCCTCGTTTTGGGTGACTTCGGTCCGTTTTCGTCCGTCGCCGTAGTTCCAAAAGTTGACCGACTCGAGGTAAGACACATTGTGCTTTTCTTAATTTTCAGAAATCCACATGTTCAATGCTCTCTAATTATTAAAATGAATTCAGATAAAAAAAATTAGTTTGTTCGGTCCAAAGACTCCAAACTACAGCCTGTGATTATTGCTTCACCCCACACCACTTCTTGTTTGACTCTACGAATCATAATCTATAAGATATTGTATAAAAAATTCTTATAAACTCTCTCTCTCTCTCTCTCTCTTCGTCTGTCTCTTTCTCTTTCTCTTTCTCTTTCTCTTTCAGACCATCCATTAAAAAAATAATATACAGCAGTACTGTTTGATATAGAAGGGGTGATTTCATTGATTGATGAAGATGGCAACTGCTTCCAAGTGGCTTCCTTCGAGCAGTTATGTAGAGCTGAAGCAAAGGGAGTTTTATATATATTTATCAACAGAGAGATCAATAATTGAAGAGTAGATCTCTTCTGATTCTGGATTTACAGAAATAAGATTGAAAAAAAAAAAAAGTGTTTGAGGAAGTTCTGAGATCTTATTTTGTTGTGGTGATGGTCATGATCGGGAGAAATTGTTATGTGCGAAGTCCGGACATAAAGAATCGTTCAGTTTTGTGATCGTAAACAGTAAAAACGTAGCTATTGTTCACCACTGTGCTTTTACTGTTCACCGTTGCGCGCTTGAGATTTTAGCGTGATTTTACTGTTCACAGTTACAAAATCGAATGATTCTTTGTGTGTGTATTCCACACGTAATAGTATCTCCATGATCGAACATCTATTTGTTACATTTCCAACTAAATATCAAAATGTATGATAAAGAGTAATTTTTTTTTCACCCAATTTCTAATGATTTGATCGTGGCCAGACAAGGTTTAGTATGAAAAAAATAACATTAGTATTAGTTTTGTAAATAGATAAATTTTAGAGGTTATGTATGTAATTTTCTCTTCTAATATTAAAAAAATAGATAGTGTAGCTTTTATATGTTTTGGGAGCTTTATGACCCCCCATTTCTCTAGAACAATTATTACGTCGTCCGACCGAATGTAGAGAAACATTCGGTCGCAGGAAAAAATCGCGCGGTACCCTTCAAAAAACTCGATACACCTCGGTACCGCGTGATTTTTGCCTGCGACCGAATATTTCTCTCATTCGGTCGACCGAACCAAATAAAACTTCCATTTCTCTATTTAAGATAAGGGAGACTAAGGTTTTCTTTGGGACAGCTTTCTAAAACGATTTTTTAGTATAAAAATCTTAAAAAAATTTGTACTAAAAGTTGTTTTATAAAGTTGCAAAAAACTATCCCGAGCAAAATCTAAAAAGAATAAATTTTCTTTTGTTCTAAGAGTCTTTAGGTGGAAGAAAACTAATTAAGAAGCTTATAAAATTTAAGAAAGAGCTTAGTGCTTATGTTGAAATGGAGGTTCTTTGTCTATGGGCATAATAAATAATTCAGAAAAATTACATATATAACACCAAAAATATGGTAATTTAAAAAATTTGATAAAAATTAAAAAAAATAAGATTTGATATTTTATTGTGAATTTTGATATTTTTATGAGAATTTTAAAAACGAATGAGAATGTTAACTTTGTAAATAATTAAATTTTGAACACTACAAATGTAATTTCCTCTATTAATAAAATTTAATTATATTTTTTGTGCTTTCTTAATTTTTTCTTGCAGATAAAAAATCATAGAAATTACATATCTATAATATTAAATATTTTTACAATATGGGTACCATGATGGCATGAATAAATAATGGATTAATGAGTAAAATGATTGGAAATAGGCTAAATATTGATGGAAACATACATTAAATAATTATAAGTTGAAGGGCTATCTCATTTTCTAATTTTATTTTCACACTCAAAATAATCAAAAATAAAATTATAATTTTTAACAAAAATATCTAATTAAACACCTAACCATTTTTTATTGACAAACAAAATTAAAAAAAATAAAATAAAAATTTATCATGAATTTTGATATTTGAATGAGAATTTAAAATTTTGAGATAAAATATATTAATTTTATAAATAATTAAAATCTAAATATGATGTATGAAATTGCCTCAGAGAAAAAATTACAAAGAGCACCTACAGCAAGTGCTTCTTGGTATTCCTCACATAGATGGATATCAGTTCCCACTGTTACACATTGAAGCATTCTGTCCATTTTTCCTCTAAATAAAACAAGTCAAGGCTTCACATCATAAACTCCTACAAGCCCAATTCTGCCTCCCTTCCTGTTTAATAACACTTCTGCTCTCTTCTTAAGGCTCTCATGGAATATAACTGTTCATGAACTGCAAGCCCTCCTGACTCATCTGCTGTACCTCTGATGGAGATAAGATTCTGATGCAGCGAACACAGTTGACAAATTCACTGAAGCATGGAAACAGTGCATGTCAAAGAAGAGAAGTGGTATAAGAGGTCTGTTGAAAGGGAAAGTATTATGTGTGGAGTCCGGACGGGAAGAACAGTCCGGATTGCTGCGTATTTACTAAGTATTTGATGAGTATTTCAACAAACACTCAGTACATACGAAGTAAATCAACAAATACTTACAAAATACTCCGTAATACTCACAATTGAGTATTTGCAAATACGCAGCAAATCCGAACGGTTCTCGCCATCCGGACTCATCACGTAATAATTGTAAGATTGTGATTTTCTATATATAATGCATTTGCTTCTTTTTGTATCTATTTCCTGTTTTTATATAAAATGATGATTGCGTTGCCTAAAATGGTTAACACCTTTACATATGATGTAAGATGCACAAACACTTCATAACATCATAGTATTTGATATATATTGCACATGACACATGCCTTACATATATTGGACATGCTCTCGGTGTGTCTTTTTTAAATAATAATAATATTGTATCAAATATATGTTCATTTCTTATATTTTTAATGATAATGTATTGTGTTCGTGTAGTATCCTCATGGTATCCATGTGTTTGCATCGATGGATCATACCATATGGTTACTTCTTATCAGATGTGATTTGCAGAAAGCAAGATAAATTATTGATACATGAACAAGAAAAATAATACTAAGTGTTGCAGAAGTGTTGCAGAGTTGAGGATGCTTAGGTGGATGAGTGACTTTACCCTTAGAGATATCATACGAAATGAGCATATACGTGAAAAGGTTGGAATAGCTCCAGTGGAAGATAAGATTAGAGAGAGTCGCCTTAGATGGTTTGGTCACATTAAACGGAGGCCTTCCGATGACCCGGTTAGAAAAATTGAGGTATTAGATTTGACTTATGTTAAGAAAGGTAGAGGTAGACCTAAAAAGACTTGGTTAGAAAATATTAGAAATGATCTTTCTTTATTAGATTTAAATGAGAATTTGATTTTTAACATGACACAATGGCGAAAAAGGATTCATGCAGCCAACCCCAAGTAGTGGGACATAGGCTTGATGTTGTTGTTGTTGTTGAACAAGAAAAATAAATGTATTTATTTCATTTCTTAAATTTTGTTCTCTATTGCAATATCATAGGTTATTGCAAAGTATAGCTTCAATCAAGTACTTACTCCCATGGATCATCTCCAACGAGAAGGACATCATTCTCCTGATCCACATAAACAAGCTTCCATTCTGATTGATTTGGATCATCAAGTTGACCTTCAAGCCCAAACATGCAAACAATTGCAGATTTAAGTTGTTCATAATTTCTAAAGCGTTTCAAATCGATTGACCTCCCGACCGATCCAAGCTTCTGAACCTACTCAGATTATATAATTAATATAAGTATTAGCTTCATGGTCATCAAAAAGAAGTTTTTTGCAGGATAAATTCTATAATGGCACCTTTGTATATGTTCTCATTGGCTGTTGAACAGCTTGTTTCATCGCATGATTACCCAAATAGTTGTAATCATCGCCAGCTGAGCACTCAGGAATATCCTGCAAAGAGAATTCTGGTAAGCTGGTGGAAGTCAGCTGAGATTGGATGTCTTGGTTCATAGCAAAGCAGCCCAATGAGTCTTCTAAAGTTACAGGAAAACTGGAGCCCTTTACCACACTAAACTCCTCTAAAACTGTACTTGGAACAGAAGAATCAGTGAAGATATCAGCATTGCTAGATTCACTGTGAAGATTGCTGCATGTACCCTCACTGGATAAGTCTCTAAGTCCACACAATTTCAATAATTCTGGGGAATCATTTTCTTTCATTCCAGTTTTCAGATTGTGAGCATGAAATGGCAGTATTCCTGAGACTGGGATTGCTTCAGATGGATTTATCTCTCTATAACCGTAGGCCTCTTCGGTAAAAATAGGCATAAACGAAGGAGAAAAAGTATCTGAAAAAGATGAGAACTGGCTTTTCTCAAATGGATTGAGGGATTCCAAGTTCAAGATGGAAGATATGCCTACTGAAGGACTTTCAACACTCTCAACTGCAGATAAAAATAGATTATCTGGTCTACTGGAGTTGATCAAACTGTTTGGTGCAAAAGATTGGTATAATGATTGTTGCAGAATTAACTCGTCATTATCTGAGCACTGATATAATTGGCTGCCATGATAAGGCAGATTCTTATTCAATGGATTTGCTGCTTCTCCAGTTGATGGTTCAAGCTGCTGCTGGTAAATCTGGGGATCATCAAGCCTGTTAGCTTGAACCTCTTTATTCTCAGAAACAAAAGAATTTCCAAGGTTTTCATTTTTATTGATTTCATTTCCAAGATGTGTTACAGGACTGAATCTTTCATAATTTCCTGTGAGTTGGTTCATATTCGATGTACTTCTCACAGTATTTTGAGCAGACTCTATCTTTTCATTCTTTGCTTCATTATAAAAAAGTTCAGACTTCATATCAGTTTTTGCTTCAACTGCAACATCTTCGCATTTGTTATCATGCTCAGTTAACTCTTGGCAATTTCTCCAAGGAGTTTCAGTTGAAAACTGGTTTACTAGCTTTGTTGCCATTAACAAACCTTCCTGCTCTAGGCAATAGTAGATATTCTGATTTTCTGCTGAAGTGTTGTTGTTGTCTAATGGAAGTATTTGTTCCTGTGGCCCTGGAGATGCGTTTTGCTCCCTCATAGCTGTGCGTATCATTACCTCTTCATACGATGAAGCACCTTGTGTTGCCATGAGAGTTGGTAAGGTTGAAGATGAGGTTGCAGGGAAGCCACTAGCCTTGATTTTTTGTAAAATAGTTGCAAAGACTGATTGATGGCATCCAATTTCACTTCCAGGAAGAGAACTTTGTTGTCTGATTACCTTCTTCATTAGCCTTTCTGAATTAAGCTTTGATCTTAAGGTATGTAGATCACCACTTCTATAATCTGAAGCCTGTAAAAAATGATTCACATTTCCAGCCCCGATATCTATTCCTGCATATGTAAATGAACAGAAGTAGAGGAACAATCTTAAAATTCCAGCTTAACGATGAAAAGAAATGAATGTGGAGGGAGCTTCACTTAAGAAAATGTTCCAACATGCAAATTCAACAATCACTGTAGAAACTGGTAAGGCCTAAATTCATTATCATATATTTGCATTTGCTGCAATAATCGATTGGTTATCAATTTTTGCAACTAATTATTACAAGTTTCAAGCTTCAAATTGTTAAATCGTCAAGAGAAAAATATCTATATATTAATTACAATATTAATTCAAGCCTTTGTCCCACTATGTAGGGTCGGCTACATGAATCATTTTTCTCCATTGTGTCCTGTTAATAACAAAAAATTTTAAATAATTCATGTCATGATTATTTGACAAGTTTTACGCTGACTGTTGACTATCTAATGCAACCCTCCACTTTTCTCATACAGGATTTAGTACCTAGCAACGGAAGTGCTATTATATATTAAGTACTCTGAAACAACAAAATTTTCCCAAGCATACAATTCTTCTAACTTGAAATCATGATAACAGTAAGTCACCAACTATTCTTATATGAAAACAAGCAGTCAGATTTGTCATCCTGATTGGCTAAAGAAGAAAACAAGCAGTTATGTATAGCTTAAGATATAGATTTTTATGAAACTTTTTGAGTACTTGGAATGTTAAAATGCTTGGGACAAATTAGACGTAAAAACATGAACATGACTAAGTAATAATATGTGCAGACTTACCCAATAATCCTGGAATACAATGCCTTTTCAAACTTGGAGGGAAAACGAAAAGGCTTTCAGGAGTTTCAATCTCCCATATGCTAACCCTATCTGGTTTCTCATCATAACCGGGTTCATCCCATTCCACCTAACGTTAAAATAACACATAAAGATGAAAGTCTACAAGGTAAGCTTGTTTTTGTAAATAGATTTTAGTGCTTTATACTAAAATGTGTCGACTGACCTGTAGATTTCGCCACTTCGAGTTAGGCCACCGTAGCGAATCTAAATCACTGATTCCTACAATGGTTCCCATACACCTGCAGAGGAAAAGGTGATATGATGTTAAGATAATCAGACAATAAGAGCTTTATACAAAACAAAGAATTATAATAGTTCAACCAAGAATTTGGAGAGAGGATAAAATAGGATCAAGCTTGTTCAGTTTATTTATTTGAAGTTTTACTCTTTGCATCAATGGCTGGTGTGCTCTTTTCCTTGATTTGCATGAGGAAGAATTGTGAGGAGAAGCTAAATTTCATTTAGTATCCAGTACAAATGTAAACATCCCAAATCACTTTCTATTATACATCACGGGAGTCTATTTTAAATAAAATCTAAGATAAGATTTTTAAAAATAAGCATGAATTAATTAAGGATTTAAACAATTTTAAGGAGGTGGTCAAATATCCTTGCCCCATCTTCCATGCCAAAGGGTGGTTGTGCAGCCCCCATAATAAAGATTTAAATTATATAAGGAAAATCTAGAACCTTTATCCTGTTACCTCTAAAAAGAAACCACATTACTCATAATAGCTCAACCTTCATTTAAATTCTATAGCCTAATTTTTGTCCTATGAAGAAGACATACTATACAAATTTAATCGTGATTTTGGGGTGGAGCTCTAAAAAATTATCCAATATTTGAGATTATTTCATTAAGATCACTATAAAAATTTTATTGTATTTTTTTATCGTTATAGATTTTTTTATAAATAAAGAGAAGTGAATTGTCTTACGTTGTACATCAGAATTCGGGTTGTATTTCCTTCATAATCAAACCATAGTTAAATCTACTACGGTAACAACAACATTAAGACAGCAATTAGGACAATTTATATAAAATTTTGTGTGTTTTTTTATGTCATGATTTTTTTTCAACTCTATGTTTGCATAGATTTTGCCTGTTTTATAGCACATTCATTAAGGGAATTGATGCTTATCAATCATCAATTCCACAGCTATGATGCAGGACTAAAAGGTGACTAAAAACATCTATAATTATTTTTTGAAATTACAATTTCCTCTCTTTTTGTTAGATATTAAATTAAATGTTAGCATCAATCCATTTTTTAAGTTTACACTTGCCTTTCCATTTGATTAGATATTATATCACATGTTATCCCAATCATTTAACTTAAGAGATTCAGAAATAGCAGGGAAGGAAGTGTAGTTGCAGAAACACAAGTGAGTTATGTATAATATTTATTATCTTCGTAAAAAATAAGTGCAATTAATTGATTTTTTTGGTTTAATATCTCTAAGTTCATTACTTAAGGCAAGAGCTAGAATGCTACTTTACATAGGATTCATATCCAATATTTTTGAAAAGTATAAACATCTGATGATCATTGACTGCATGTAGCATGCCAAGTGAAGAATGGTGAGAGAGGAGAAAGAAGCAATGAAATAAAAGATATAGGTTTCGTTTGGGATGGCTTTTTTCCAGCTTTTTTTTTTAAACAATTTTTTAGTACAAAAACTTCTTAAACTAGAAATCTTTGTACTAAAAAGTTGTGTTAGAAAGCATTAAGAAAGTCGCCCCAAATGAAGCCATAATCTAAAAGAAACCTTCTTTTAGTTGATTCTTCTGTTGCAAACATCATTCCAAATCTCATTCCAATGGAAACTTGAGCATAAGCAGCTTTCTGGTACTTGGCTAAAGGAACAATGAATTCTGAAGGGCATGCCCTGCGAAATTGTCAATGTTCCCAAGTTTTAGAAAAATATAATAGAAAAGGTTCTAAAGAAAAAGAAAATGTACAGAAAGCTCACGTAAAAAATATACCTTGGGTTGTAGTAAACAGTAAATGGACTACTGCTAGCCGCAGCATGGGCAGCTGCAGCAAGAACACCGATATGCATACTATCAGCAGATAGGACAGAGGATGGCAATGGTGATTGTTGACAATTGGAGCGTCTTAAACCCAAAAGTAGTTGTGATTTCTCATCTCTAAACAAATCACAAATAATTCTCAGATTGATAGACATGATAATAAAACATTTAAATATTAGTATGAAAAGCAAGTAATTTGGTTGCCCAATATTTTGAGCAGTATGGATTCAACAAGATTTAAATCCATCAACTTCAAGTTTAGCAGCAATGTCCAAGTTGACATTTTTTTGGTCAAGCCATATTGGCTATCTTCAAAGACTCTAAATTGAAATTTTCATGAATATACTTACCGAATAAACAAAACGGAATCACCAGACTTAAGCCGCTTGGCTCCAACAAACAAGCTCCAACCAGTCGTCAAAAGGTGACGCTTTGGCTGCCCTGGACAGATAAGGAACATCTAAAATAAGTCAGTGGTTAAAAGAACAGAAGCTCAAATGGGGCATGCCAAATAGATGAAGCTCCCATTAATGCAGGATTTGAGTAGGGGTTGATGCATACAACTAAGAAAGTCTAAGACTAGTTTGATCCTTCCTAAAAATTGGGGGATCATTTTGATCATTTTATCTATGCAGATTAGATTAGACATCAGATCGATCAAATAAATTTGCTTGCCCTTTACATACCTAAAAGAACAAAATATTCAAGGGAAAAAAGGGAAAAAAACTCCAATTGAAATGGAGCATTCTCATATCATCCACTCTTACTTTTTTTTTTCCTATCCTTCTCTATCCCTTACACAAAAAAAAAAAATAGAAAACTTAAGAAATGAAGAGCATGTCATTTTAAAATGGAATGTTGTCATGCCATATATTTCTCTTTCCTCCTCTTTCTCTTACTATATAGATCACATAAAGATCATGTCGATGGCTCAAAACAATGACATTCAGATCACAATGGAGGATACCAAACCACTTGTCTAGATTCACCATTCAAAGAAATTAGAAGAAAATTCTATAATTTGGATTAAAGGAGTGCTACATATACGATAACAATGAACATCATGTTGGAAAGAAAGCGCAAGGTCTCTATACTAGAAGAAGGTATAAAAAACACAAACATGTAACACAAATGCTAAAATTTGAAAAAATTTCCTTACCACGATAAATGTGTCTAAATGTCCAAATGTTATCCTGCAAGTCTCGAACAATAAGCTCTTGATTTGGGGGTTGCATTGTATAATCCTAAAAATAGAAAAAGAAAGCATGAAAAGACTGGTTAGATTAGACAAAAGAGGACTATTTAAACACCATTCTCATGTACTTACCAGTTGGGGAAACAACTTTTCCGCAGCTCTTCTAGGTACTGAGAATCCACCATGAGTACTTGTATCACTTGCTGTCAAATTCTTGCAAAAGAATTCTGTTGGTTGCTTGCTTTTTGTATATCCAAAATCAGGAATTTGGAAGACATCGGCTTCCTTAAGTAGAAAAAGAAGAGTAGAATCAATCTTAAGGAAGGTCAAATATTACAGGCTTAAAGCATCAAAAGAATGCACATTCAAAGTTTCCATAACCAACATAAGATAATTAACTTAAGAACTTCTAAACTTCAACAAATTTTGTTTAACTTACTTTACAGCTCTTATTTATGAGATATTGATAACTTGCAGAAGAAATTCAGCAAAAAAGGAACTGTATTAATGCTACATCATTTAAAGCAGCAAATTAAGCGGGAAGGACATACAAATATCAAAAAAGCTATATATGATTTGAAAATACTAAATTTCTGTATATGGGATAGATGACATACAGAATTAACTGGCTGAAGCGTCATTTGTGCATAGATTTCATCATTTTCCCTGTCAGCCTACAAGTGCATGAAGTGGCTAGATTAGGGACCCCATAAATTTTGGTAAAATATATAGAACTTAAAATAGATTATACTCACATGTAATGTGACATTATGAACTTGGCACATCAACTGTGATGGCAGATTTGTATAACTAGGGATCTGTGAATTGATGGCTCTTCTGGTTGAAGTTGACACCTATATTTGAAAGAAATTAAGTTACCAAAGAGCAAAACCAAGTACAGGAGTTGACAGTCTTGCAAATTGGAAAAAAACTCCGAACCGACAACACCCAAAGGTTCCCAATCTTCTAATAAAAGATTTTCCGAACACACCGTATTAGCATTGCATGCCCTACTCATTCCATGTTTGGCATGGCTGCCTCTCAGCTTAGTGGTTAAAATTTTCTGTTTTTAGTGGTTTCTTTTACAAATAATAATAAAAAAAAAAAAACAGAAGATACTTGCGAGTTATCTTAATAATAGATGAAAGGGAAACTAAAACTTATTGTTTGATAAGGTGCAGTGCCTCCTAATAAGTTTAACTCCAAATTTAATCCACATCCAAGTGACTAGATGGAGATAGAAGAATGGATGTTAAAAAAAAAAAAATGGATGTTAACCAACATACATAAAGGTAAAACTTAATGTTAATTATGGTTACTGGTAGTAAACCTTTGGTTTTAAACACTTGTATTGTATGCATAAAAAAAACAAAAATCAAGTAGTTTAGATTATTCAGGGGAAAGCAACTCTTAAGATCAAGTAGTTTATACTATTGTAAATTTATCAGATTTTGTTGAACAAGTTCAGACTTTGAACTAATCTCAAGTAGAAAGTAACAGTTCAACCAAAAAAAAGGAACAAAGAAGAAAGAGTACGAAAATGGGCGATGGGAAATATTTACTCAAATAAAAAGGCATATCTTCTTGTTCTCGATCCACAAAATTGCAAAAGATTGTCACTAATTATTCTAACAACTGCAAGGAGGCAATCCAAACAAGCATGCTTCATATTGTGTAGTGCCTCCTCCAATGCTTAAATTCCAACTTTAAAGAAACTCCAAAATCACTAGGGACAAACAAAAATCCATGATATACATCTTAAATAGGAAAATATTTACCACTGCTTAAAATTAGGAGAACAGAAGTAGGACCCAATTAAAATAAGCTATATAAATTTGTACTTACTACTCATAGTGAATAAAAAGCTAAGATATACCAAGAACTCCTGTTAAGAGTCCTTAAAGGAAATTTTAGCTAATTATTCAAGAGAAGAGTTACTCTTGAGATCATGTAGTTAAGGTTCATATCAATCCATGGCCTTAAGAAAGAGGAAAAATTAAAAAAAATGGTTAGTTCTAGTATAATGAGAGAGAGAGACTTGATATTTACATTATTCTTGTTGACATAATAGAACATAGAAACTACAAAAAGACTACTGACATAAAAGATAAGTAGAAAAAAAAACTACAATCATCCTCAACTCACTACAAATAAATCGAACTCAGCAAAGAAAAAAGTTAGTAATTCTAAAACCTGTTCGCTATGCCCCTGGGGGAAGTAGTAAACAAGGCTTCCTGGCTGTGGCAATGATACCAGAGGACCCGCACAGGCATGCCATAGCTCTGAATTTAAAATCTTCTTTGCACCTAAACACATCAAAGCAGAAACAAAACCGCAAAAAAAAAGAAAAGTTTATATGTGTAAAATAATGGCTTGGCATTACTAAATTCTTCACTGTAACTAAATCCAAAAGGAAATTAATAGAAAAGTCAAAGAAAAAGACATAAAACTACCTGCGTTTGCTTGAACCTCTCCTAAAAGTTTCATTTCATTCAACAAAATGGAGGTAAACTAGAAAGCAGTATATTTTCTTGCTGTTGAGTATATGACATCTTCAACCAATCAACTCTGAAGTTAACCAGAAGCAGATAGCCACAATCGACACCATCTTACTACAAGAATCTTGTTTTCTAGTTGAAAAGATCATTTTTTTTTTCATCCAGCACAGAAAACAGTATTCCAGAAAACATCCAGCAGTGAATTTTTCAGTCCAATGTCAAACCAGAAACAAAACCTCAAACACGTCAAAACCTATGGACCCATGAGTTTCCTAAAAACCCCATTTCGCCAACAGATTCTGGTTCAAAAATCCCATCTTTCATTTCCTTTTCACTTATATACGAACAGGTAAAATCCAAGGAAAGTAGAGCCAAGAAGCGAATGAGAAGAAACACACTATGAAACATGAAGAATAAGGACATCTGAAGTTACTAGTAAGCAAAAGCAACAGTATACGAGGGCAAAAACTGGGAGCGACGGAGAAAAGCGAGGGTTTTGGGTAATTCAAGTGGGCCTTCGAAGTCCTAAAAAGGTGAAGCCTTCTCCTCCAGAAGCACGCGAACAATAGCATCATATGAGTGGTCGAATTCCAAGTTGTCTTTTTCCCCCTTTTTTTCTTACAAAGTTCTCTGCTTTTATTCGTCCTCCCCTTCCATTTCCCTCTCCTTGCTTGCCCAAAGATACCGACCTTTCAATAAGAGACCATGATTCCACTCCATCCCCTTTTTCGCTTTTCTTTCTCGAAATTGCAGGCCATTTTTCATCCCTCCCATTTTCTCTTTCCCTGCTCCCATGGCAGCTTTTGGCTGCTGACAAACAAAATACAAAGTGCGGCAACGGAGGGTAAGAATGTAATGGAAAAGGAAAAGGTTGAGTGGATCATCTGGGGTCTTCGATATCTCAGATACGTATAGGATTACGTCTGAATCCATCATCTTTGAATCTCTTCTGTTTGCTCAGTTGGCTTGCGTGTTTGGGTCCATTTGACCGTTGGGATGAGACGTCAAGGGCTGTTCAAGGAGGCCAAATGGTGAGTGGGGAACTGTTTTTCTCATGTGGTATGCTTAGCACCTTTCCATGCAATATTGAGGTATAGATGCAATTGCAATATTGAGGTATAGATTTGATTCAGTTTCCCTTTTTTTAAAAAAAAAAAAAAAAAATCCTAATTTAGCACACACGGCTAAAAGAATCCAAAATCATATGAATTTTATCATCTGTGGGATCTCAATGTCCTATCAATCTATGATCAATTTTATAAAAAAGATTAAGGAACAAAAATTGTATGATTATATATATGCGGGTCTTTCAACATTTGATTTATTAATGATTTGATGAGAGTGAAAAAATAATAAATGATAGAAGGCATGGATTTAAGTTGATGGAAAAGGTTCACGAGGCATAGTTAGTGCTTAATGATTGTGAGGGTATCGATTATGACTAATGTAATTAAGTTATGAACATGAGTGAGGAGAGATAGTGGTCCTGAGGTTTTGGTGGGAACTAAGAACGGATTAATATATTAGGGTTCAATAGCAGCTGAGGTTGTAGAGAAGCCACCAATATTAAGGTTGCTAATATAAGCCTTTGCATGCATCTTTCTATATTTTTTGGTGGTGTATGATTTGAGATCAATGTGAATTAAAATATAATCATTGTCATTATATTTTCTTGATAAACACTTTTGATTCACAATTTCAATATATTTATTATTATTAATTTAACTTAAATTTTGTCCCTGATTTGCATATCTTAGAAGAATATAATGACGGTGTGATTTCAATATCTTAGAAGAATATATAATTTTTCATATATTGATATGTGATTTCAATAGTTTAAGGTTAATTAAATTTCATATTAATATGCCATGTTAACTAATTTTATTTCCTTAATTAAATTACTTTAATAATTTTAATGTAGGTTTCTTTGATTTAATGACCTAATCATAAGAGCTTTAAGCATCACAGCTCAACTATCTTAAAAGATATTCATTGATGTTTATAAGAGAGGAGATGCTCACTTAAGTAGGAGAGGACACGTGAGTAGTAATGTGCAATGGGATACTCTAACGAACATGAGGAAGATTGGAAGATAGTAGAATTGATGATTTTGACTTTTCCAATCATAACAACACGGGCATTTGCATCAATATATACTATTAAGTTCTTATTATTGAGCATAAGAGAAGCATGTCGTAAAAAATAAAATTTATTTTGAATAAGAATTTCATCATTATTTTTTTAAAGTTATATATAAAATAATATTTGTATGAGTGCAAACTTTTGTGTGTATTTGAGAGATAGACTTCTGAGTGTTATGTTTTTGAATTTTTAAAAGTATAGAGGTTTACATTATTTTATAAAACATAGTAAAAGGGGGAAACATTATATTAGCTTAAAGATTTTTTGAAATGTATATAGAAGAATTTACTTCCCCAAATATCTATTTTGACTTAATGTTAGTACTTATTTTTAAATGCATACTAGCTTCCTAGTAAATATCTAGTCCTTCTCTCTCTCTCTCTCTCTCTCTCTCTCTCTTAGAAATAAATTGTATTACTATATGTTGGGCTAGAATAATGGGTAAGACTAGCTAAAGTATTGGATCATCATAGATCAATGGTTTAAGTGGGTTGGTAGATTGCTTAGGCTACTTAAGGCTAAATTTACTTAAATTAAGTAGGCTAGCCCAACTCAATGAGTTATTTATATATATTCATAATAAAATTCAATAAAATTTTGATTTTTTATTTTATTATGTGTAATATAAAAATTTTATAAATACATTATTAGAATACATGCGAATTATGAAATTTGAACATTTGTAAATAGAATTAGTTATGTAGTTTTTTCTCTCATTGTCAACTTATAAACTCGTGAAATAACTTTCACTAACTTATCATCTTCTTCATGGTACAATTCATCAACTCAAGCTATAATGTGTGTGTGTGTGTGAGAGAGAGAGAGAGAGAGAGACTTATAATCTTCTCCATGGTACAATTTGCCAACTCATGTTATAATAGAGAGAGAGAGAGAGAGAGATGATAAGGGCAAGGACTGAAAGCATGTGTGGTTGGAGAAATGCATTATTGTATTATTATATTCACATTATTACCACTTAATAAAACCATTCAAGTCAATTAGTAATATTTATCTTTGGTTGTCAATTCTAAGTTTATTTAAAATTAATCCATGCATTTTTTTTGTCTTATGCAATGACTTTATAAGATAAATTAAACACTTCTTCCAATTTTCATGATTTTTCAATAAATAATAATAAATTTCTTAAACATAGACCCACATCATCAAATTTTAAGACCATGATGTACATGTTTTAGCCAAGATGAATTATATTACAAAATTACTCTCTTAAAGAATAAATGTTATGGTGCTAGGTACACTAACGTACGTGGTCTCATATACATTGTGATATTATTTTATCACCAGTAACAAAAAAAAAAGTCTTTCATCTCCTATTATTGTTATTTTAACTCGTTAATGTGTGTTAAATGTGAATAATAATTATGGTAATTATTTATAATCAATACTCGAAAGAAGAAATGCTATGGTGCTAGGCACACTAACGTACGTGGTCTCATATACATTGTGATATTATTTTATCACCAGTAACAAAAAAAAAAAAAGTCTTTAATCATCTTCTATTATTGTTATTTTAACTCGTTAATGTGTGGTAAATGTGAATAATAATTATGATAATTATTTATAATCAATACTCGATTCATATAAGATGATCTTGCATTTTGTTCATCCATAATCAAGCAAACGATCTCATCATATGGAAAAATCATTACGTCTGATCACAGGATGGTCCATAGGCGAATTATGTTGTACCACGTCACCCCGGTACACAACACTTATACACATCAAACGGTGATATGACACATCCTGATTCGCCTCTGGACGGCGTATGATGACCGCACATAATAATTTCAACGTCTTATGAGCTCCAATGAGTAGATGATAAAATTTTCAAAGATTTTGAAGTTTTTTTGATACATTACTCCATATACTTAATTAACCCTAATTTCAAAAAGAAGCACTTCATATTATTTGTATTTCACCCATCATCATATTTTAATTTACAATGCTAACCTTATCTCTTTAATATATTTTACACTAATATACAAAAATCAATGCTATTCAACCTAAGGAAATTATAAAACAAAAAAAACTTTTTATGTTCTTAAACATCATAAAAACTCATCAAATTACACATTCCAACAAAATTCTCTCACAATCATTTCTTCATTAAATCAATAGAATTGAAATTTTAATTAAAATTCCTCATATAAAATGATGGAGGTCTCCAGGTGGTAAAGCAATAAAGTGTACTGATGGTTTTGGGGGAAGAGAAAGGCTATGAAGATGAGATGAGATAGGCATGACATATTAAGGGATCTGTTACTAAAACTTTTCAGTCTTTTGCCTCTTAATAGGGAACCACTGAACAACAATTTTAGCTTTTTTTTTTTCTCTTTCTTTTCACTCTCCAATCTCTCTATAAAGTGTCAATTCAAAGATTACCTAGTCAGAGATTCACAAAATAAAGAAAATAATATTTTTTTATATTATAATTCATTAGAAAATATGATGATTTTTTTATTAAATTCTTTTAGGGTGGGTGTTTTTATTATGAAGAAGAAATTTAAAATGCACTAATTATTATTTGATTAAATTTGATCAATGTAAAAATAATTATATTATTGTTATAAAAGTATTAATGATTATTATGTTTTTGGTATTTAAAAAAGGTATATATTTTATAAAAAAATAAAAAAAATTTCATGAAAAGATTTTAATTTTTTATATCTTTAATTCATTTCCTCTATAAAAATTTGGATGAAAATAAAAAATTCCATAAAATTTAAACAAAATTTAACTAAAAATCTTAGAGAATAAGTTAGATTCTATCATTATAGTACACCTAAATTTCATGTTTTATTTGCACACAAATTCTATACTTCCTTTTATTTTATACCTTAGAAAATTTTAAAATAATAATTAAAAATAGATAAAATTCCTAAATCACCAAAAATATTGAAATCAAGCTTTAACATCCTACAAAGAATTTTCCTTTACAATACCCTAAATGAAAAATATTTGGCCCGTTTCTTGCTAAGAGACATTTTATATTAGCTGTTAATTATTTTCAAATTTAAATAAATAAATAATGCATATTGAAGGAAGTTAGGCCGTTTAATTTTTTTTTAAATCTCTTTTTAATATTTTTCACACAATTGGTAGAAAATAAATAGTGATATTAACAGTATTAATTTGTTAGCCAATCCAAAGAACCTAATCAATGAATTATTATCATTTTTTTAAAAATGATGAACGATAAACCATAATATGATTCAAAGACATTGAAAACAATTTTCTTTTTTAATTAATAGGCCACATTTAATTTCATATTAATCAATTGGTATTAGTTATAATTGATTTAATATCTATAATATTAATTAAAAAATTTATTATTAAATAAAAATTATATTACATTTTAATGCATTAAATCATATTATTCTAAATTATAAATAATAAAATAATAGTAAATACATTAAATTTAATGTCTGATAAAATTATTAAATATTTAGACAACAATTATCATAGAAATTTAAAAAAAAAAATCCAAATACATAAAATAATTTCACAAACAATATACATTCATACAAATATTTATTATAAAATCAACAATAAAATATTAAAATATAAATATTATTTTAAAAATATTTCAAATTACATGTCATATACGTTCACACCACCTGAAAACATATTCTATGCCACATCCTAAGAAAATATAGATCAAACAATCCTTAAACCAATTTTTTTAATAATAATTCATTCATTTCCTCCATATTATAAACCTATTTTAAGGAAAAAAAAAACACTATCACCCACTCTTTATTAGTTATACATCAATTCAAAAATCTTTCTTTAAGAATCAATGCTTTGAAACTTAGGCTTCATTTTGGACAATTTTTTTACTGTTTTATTTTTCAGATCACAATTAAAATTTTTGTTTGGGCACTTTTTTTTTCATTATTTTCAATAAATTTTTATGTTGGAAAGCTATTTTCTATAATAGCTTTTAAAAAAATATTTTCTCCACAGCAATTTTATAATCACTTTTAAGCTGTAGCTGTCTCAAACAGACCCTTAACCCCAATTTGATTATGGTTAGACCAATCCAATAGTACAAACACCTAATAAATTCTTACAAGGCTAAGCATATTTATAAAACTTTTGAACAACAAATACCTCCATAATCATATACTCAAATTACACTAAAGAAAACTACTAAAATCCTTCATAGAAATTCGACAAAAACGAACCAGAAACAACCCAACCCGAATCATCAGGTCACACTCAAACCTGATTGTAACAGATCGAGTCATATTTCGACACGAAAAACTCAGCAGGTATTAGCAGGTGTGCTTACCTTTCCTCAGATTTGATAGGAACTCCTTTGTACAATTCTACACGCTCTCTGAGAGCATCACGACGAGGCCTTGCAATCTTATTATTTGGATCAAAAAGAAGAACTTCTTCAAATGCTTTGAGAGCCATTTTCAAATTTTTCTTCTTCTCATAAGCGTCGCCCATATTGTTCCAAGCAGTAACGTAGCCAGGCTGAAGCTTCACTGCTGCTTCAAACTGGGCAATGCCTTTGTCAAGCTTGTTGTCACGCACATAGCTCACTCCTAAAGCATTGTAAACCTGCTTTGAATGCAAGGGATAAATCAATCATCAGAATTAAGAGATAAAATGAGTTTTTTCAGTTGAAGATATGATTTCAGATGATCCAGTAATATGAAACAAAAAGGATCAATTAGGATTTAGTAAATGTTTGTAGATCCAGATTTTGTAAATCATGGAGGTGTTGAATTTTGAAAATTGTTTGACATGATTGATGTTGATTCAGATTAAAGAATGGTAAATGGTTTGACATATATTTTAAATATTTAGGATGTAAGATAAGTGGTGTAAATCTTTTAAATCCTAATTGATTTAGGATTTAATAAGGCTTCGTTTGGAATAATTTTCATATTACTTTGTTTTTGAAACCGCAAATACAATTTCTATTTGACTACTACTTCATCATTTAAAAAAATTGTACTAGAAAACTGCTTTCTACAACAGCTTTAAAAAGTCACTTTCTCTGCAACAGCTTTATAAAATAATAAAAAAGTTATCCCAAACGAAGCTTAAATATGGGATTAAAAAGGGATAAAAGTGGAATTTAAAAAGGTTTCATAATTTAAGTGAAAGAAATTGACTCAAGATATCATGATAAACTTTTTGTCATGTTTGAATTCAAAATTAGTTTATTTTATTTGAAATGAGTGCAATATAAAATTTGGTTGATTCTCAAAGCAAACTCAATACTTTAAAGCCCATTATGATCCAAAATTTTTCCAAGGATTTATATGCCTCAAAAAATTACATGCAAAGATTTACCCTATAAAAATTAAAAATCTTTGGCTAAATCATAGCAACCGAACACCCTAAATGATTAAAAGAATAAATGATATTGCAAACCGTAAGCTCAACTCATGAAACAAAATAAGAGAAGCTCAAAATGAAAAAAAAAAATGGTGTTGTATAAGACAATTATTCTATTTGATCAATTTGAAAGAGTAATACTTCTCAAGCTTAGTAAATTCATCAGCAGTAAACGCCAAAGTTGATATGACTGGCAAGCAACTCTTCATTTTTTTACTTGGAAGTGAAATAGGGTCCATAGCTGCCTTAGAGTGGGATGAGATGATATTTTGGGAGGAAAAAAAGGCAGACCAAACAGAGCAGAAAGAGAGATGTCATAATCATATTCTTTACACGATTTTTTTGAAATTCGTGTGATTTCTTCTTGCGATTTCCGGTGATTTTTGGCCTGGTTTTAAGGCCAAAATGTCACATCTCAAGTGGGACAGTCTCCTTAGACACCTTAATAAATAATATGTGCATAATTTGCTTGAGTGGCATGGCACATCACTGTGGATGTTAGATCTAAAATCCATTAGTTTAAAGTGCACTAATTATAAAAGATCGTAACAAGTATGGAGTCAATTGAGGAAAAGCTGACATTTTCTTAATTTTTGCCTTTTTCAAGCACAGGAAAGCTAGCTTTGGCAAATATGATCTTATTCTCCATAGGGCAATGCTAAAACACTAGAGTTTTATTTGATCAAAACTTCAAAATTATGATCAAGATCCTGGAATCAAATCTCTCATATATCAAATTTATGCTTCTGCACTCAAAATAACTCCAAAAATGAAGAGATTATTACGTGCGGTGTCCGGACCGTTCGGAGACGAATCCGGACGCGCCACATCACCCGGATGCACTGGGCCCCGGGTGACGTGGCGCGTCTGGATTCGCCTCCGGACACCGCACCTAATAATTTTCCCCAAAAATGGGTGGAAAAAAACAGCTGACTTAGCTTTTCAGTTCTCCCAAACCAAAAAAGTGTATAATACCACCTGATGGACCAAAAATTTGTATCCCACCCAGTTTGTTCAAGAGAATGACGAGGGAATCTTTTACCACATCCTATGCTTCTAGCTATAATTATTAAAGCGTATTCTATATCTGGCTATATAGGGCAATGCAGGCCACCCATTTATGCCTATGGTAGCTATTTGAGTACTTGATCCACAAAACATTGAAACATGCAGCATTTTGTCATGGCTTTATTAATTTTCAGATTTTCAAATGCTCATAAGGGGTGGGTGTTTAGGATTCATAAATGCAATAGAAAGTATAAAAAGTTTTGGAAAACAGTACAGGGAGAAATTGAACAGAGTGGCTGCTAACATACTGTACTAATAACAAGTAGAAGTTCTACATTGCTCTCAAAGTAGACTAGTAAGAGCCCAGCAGGTAAAGTTAGAATCACAAGGGTAAAAAATTATTAACTATAAGGAGTTTCTCAAAAAAGTTCGAAAGCAATCAAGCATATTCTTACATCTTCATCCACAAACCAAAGCATTTATAGATTAATTATGCTTTATATTTGATTTTAACAAGGCTAGTTAAATAAGCATATATGTTGGATAAAAAATTGTCTGGTGGAATCTGGTTGAATCCTTTATACAGACATAAATCAAGCTTAAATATTCAATATAGAGCTAATTGAATTGAATTACGGTATGGTCCCCAAGATCTCTCACAAGATATGTTGAAACGAGAATTTGATTGACAAAATCAAGACATGACATATGAGTTTTAAGAGAGAAAATGAGAGAGTGAGCTCTGGGGTTTAGGAATAGCTAGGAATCCATACCTGAAATTTTATATCAATGATCACAGGCCCTATCCCTGACATTTAGCCCCTATTTATAGACTGAAACAAAAGACAATTTCACAGGATGGGAAATACATGAGTCAGTCTATTGCGAAGGCAGTAAAAAAAGCTTTCCATAATTTATTTAAGGCATATAATCGAGGCCTTGGACAAGTTCTTTAAATGAGCATATCTACCAAATACATACAGTCAATTGTATAGCAATTACCAAAGTACTTAATAGTCAATTGTCTATCGATTACTATTAGTTAGTGAGCACTAAAAATCGGTTGTTTGCAAAGTACTACTTCGATGAGTTCTTTATGGATCGACCTATCTATTTTGAGTGATTAACTGACAATACATTTTCTCTTCATGTCATAAATTATTCATATAATGTTTTGGATAATTTACTGTAGATGACTTTGTGGGCTTACAGATAATTTCAGTTGTTTTAACCATTTCAATTTGGAATGCTTGTTTATAGTTCAATCAATAAAAAAAAAAGTCAAAGATGGTCTTCTAACTATTGTTGCCAAATGGATTTCGTTATAGCTATTTGGGCTCCAGGCTACTTGTTCTATCTCATTTTTTATGGATTTGCATAATGCGCCTGCACGTTTTTTAGTGACCTTGCACAGTGCATTTGATTGTTTTCAATATATTGACATATTTATTAGTACGCTCCTGCAATGTACTTGCATGTATTTCAGTACATTTATATAATATATCCGCACTCTTTTTAATATAAATGAAGTTTTTTATTTAAAAAAGATAGCGCACTAATTGTTATACTTGCCTGCTTTTTCATACCATGATGTACTTCTTGAGTTTGTGGCACACTTTTCAGGACTATCGCACAGTTTTTGGTCCTGTATTACACTTCTCGAGGCAATTGCATGCTTCTCTAGATGTTAATACGCTTAACAATTCTAATGCACACTTCTTGAGGTGGTGGCAATCTTCTCCAGTAGGCGACACACTCCGCAAGGCTCTTAAATTTGAATTTTGAAAGTTGCATTTTGATGCATGTGAGATTTAAAAATATTCATATTTGTTATTTGCGTGGATGTTTATTATTAAAATGCGTGTAAAAATTTTAATTTTAAATTTTAAAAGAATGCTTATGTTAGCTAGCACGTGTATGAATTGCGGATCTAGTGACGTTAAATTCAAATTAGATTTTATTTTCAAATTCCTTTAGCTTTTGAATAAAATGAAATTCTCCCTTACATGAGTAAATTTAAAACATGTAGGACCCATAAGGCATCTTTTTCTAGATATAAACAAGAAAGCAATTCAGTTCATTTTTATTTCATTGTAATTCACTAAGTCCTTAAGGGTTGCAATTGCTCTTAACAGTAGCAGGGCCCTCTATGCTCGCAAGTGAGCCCTTCAAGTTCATCATAAGTTCCCTCTAAGTTCATTCCTAATCTAATCTTTTATTCTTATCATTATAAATTTTATCGAATTGCATTTTTATTTTTTTTTAATGTAATTTTAAGTCATCAAGAACAACATCAAGCCTTTATTCCACTACGTGGGGTCGGCTACATGAATCTTTTTTCTCCATTGTGTCCTATTAAAGGTCAGATTCTCGTTTAAATCTAATAAAGAAAGGTCATTCATAATATTTTCTAACCAAGTCTTTTTAGATCTGCCTCTACCTTTCTTAACATAAGTCAAATCTAATACCTCTACTCTCCTAACCGGGTCATAGGAAGGCCGCCGTTTTATGTGACCAAACCATCTAAGGCGACTCTCTCTAATCTTATCTTCTACTGGAGCTACTCCAACCTTTTCACGTATATGCTCATTTCATATCTTATCTCTAAAGGTAAAGCCACTCATCCACCTGAGCATCCTCATCTCTGCCACACTTAACTTAGTATTATGCTTCTCTTTTAATGGCCAACATTCAGCACCATAAAGCATTGGAGGCCTCACTACCATCTTATAGAATTTTTCTTTAAGTTTGAGGGGTACTTTTCTATCACACAACAAGCCCGATGCATTCCTCCACTTCAACCATCCAACTTGAATTCTACTGATAATATCCCCATCTATTTCACCATCACTCTGAACAATAGATCCAAGATATCTAAAATGTGTACTCTTATACATTGCGTACATGATGATTTTCAACTATGAATCCCCAATGCTAACAATAAGATTAGGCACGATGCCAAGAAATCCCTCACTCACTTGAGTCACTCTCTAGTTCTCCTAAGCTGTAGCGGTGAAAGAGCCTTTACATGAGCTTTGTGAATCAAAAGTATACGCATAATTG